TGCCTGGGATTGCCATGGCCCAGATGAGGGACCTTGCACTTCATTTTGTTGTACTCCATAAGGTTTGCATTGTTCTACCTCTTAAGCCTGTCAAGGTCCCTCTGGATGTCCCATCCCTTCCCCCCAGCTGTGACTGCCCCACACACTTGATGTGGTCAGAGAACTTGCTGAGGGTGCACTCAATCCACTGTCCATGTCGCCAGCAAAGATGCTGAACAGTGTCAACCTCAGCACCAATCCCTGAGGGACACCACTCACCCCAGCACCAATCCCTGAGGGACACCACTCCTCAGTGGTCTCCATGTGGACACTGAGTCACTGATCACAACTGTCTGGGTGCAACCATCCAGCCAGTTCTTTATCCACCGAGTGCTCTACTCATCAAATCCATGTCTCTCCAATTTAGAGACAAGGATGTTGTGTGGGACAGTGTCAAATGTTTTGCATAAGTCCAGGTAGATGACAGCAGTTGCTCTTCCCTCATCCACCAATGCTGTAACCCTGTCATAGAAGGCCTAAACATTTGTCAGGCACAGTTAGCCCTTAGTGAAGCCGTGTTGGCTGTCACCAATCACTGCCTTATGCCTAAGCAGAGCTCCCAGGAGAGTCTGCTCCATGATCTTGCCAGGCATAGAGGGGAGACTGACTGATCGATAGTTTTCCTGTTCCTCCATTTCCCCTTTTTAAAAACAGGGGTTATATTTCCCTTTTTCCAGTCATCAGGGACATCATGTGACTGCCACGATTTAATGTTCGGATCTGGCAGAACTTGAAATCTGGGGATAAAATGTCAAAGGCTGTTTGGAGGAGTATGAAGTGACACAGAGAGGGCAAAATCCAACATGACTTCATATATGAGACCATGGGCTCTGGGCTGGCTGCTGCCTGCTTGAGAGTGATATTATGGTGGACATGAGAAGACATGAGGAACATTAGGGAAAACATGAGCTAAATGCTCCATGGCAGCAAAAATACCAGCCCATAAGAGATCAATGTTTTGTGCTGTCCAACAGCTCAGCAGGACTAATCTAAGTTAAAGGAGGAGTTTTTCCAGCAGTGGGAATTGACTTGGGGAACTTCTTGCTGGAGGATATTTCCTGTACTAACAATTTTCCTGGGTTTGAGAGGAACTGGGCAAATCCGTGTCCCCCTGGGTTTCATCCTTGGCCCAGGATTGTTCAGCTTATTAATCAGTGACTTGGATGAGGAGACAGAGAGACTTCTCAGGAAGTTCCTGATGATACAAAACTAGGAGTGGCTGATAGCTCCGAGGGCTGTGCTGCCCTTCAGAGAGACCTCCACAGGTTGAAGAGATGGAGAAGAACCACCTGAAATTTAACAAGAGCAAGTGCAGGTCCTACACCAGGGGAGGAATAACCCTTAGCAGCAGTACAGGTTGGGCACTGACCCACTGGAGAGCAGCTCTGCAGAGAAGACCTGGGGAACAACAAACTGTCCCTGCCCAGCAGTGTGCCCTGGTGGCTAAGAGGCCAATGGAATCCTGGGATGGATTAGGAAGAGCATTGCCAGCAGGTCCAGGAGCTGATATGGACCCTTTGCTCAGCCCTGGTGGGGCACATCTGGAGTACTGAGTCCAGTTCTGGGCTGCTCAGGACCAGAGGGACATGGAGCTCCTGGAGCAGGTCCAGGGGAGGGTGACAAAAATGCTGAAGGGACTGGAACACCTCATTGATGAGGAAAGGCTGAGGGAGTAGGAGCTGTTCAGCCTCGACAAGAGATGACTGGGAGGGACCTCAGCAATGTATTCAAGTACATGAAGAAGAAGTGTCAAGAGGATGGATCAGACTCTGCTCAGTTCTGGAAACCGATAAAACCAGAGGCAACAGCAGAATCTGATGCACAGGAAGTTCCACCTGAACACAGGGAAGAACTTCTTTCCTATGCAGTGACTGAGCACTGAGAAGATTGCCCAGAGAGGTTGTGGATTCTCCCTCACTGGAATCTGGACACAACCCAGAGCCATATGCTCTGGAGCTGGGCCTGCTGGAGCAGGGATGTGAGACCAGTTGACCTGTTGTGGTCCCTTTCAACCTGACCCATGCTGTGATTCTGTAAGGGATCTTAAATAAAGAGGAAACTGTTCAGCTCAAAAGGTTTCTGAGCTGAAAATAAAGTCCAGGGGAGAGGTGAGTGTCAGTGAGGGGTGAGTGTCATCAAGGCTCATCCTCTGCCTAATCCCCAGACACTAAATGCCCATCTAGAATTTCTTCATCTCAATAATATGAGGAATGGCAAACTGTGAGGTTTTATGTTCCTTTGCTGTGCAGATCCTAGCTGGGGGTGTTCTTTCACTACTATGGGCAGGCTAATCCTTTGGAAAACCCTGCTAAGTCCTGTGCTTCAGCGCTATCCCCTGGCAATGAGTTTTGCAAGCTCAGAGCTCTTTGGGCAATAATCAGGCAGGTTTATTGCTTTATAGTAGCTCCCTGATGCTGAGCTGCTATATATAGTTTGGCAGCAATTAGCAGGATGCTTGCAAGGTTATTTAAGTAGGTTTTTTTTGCCCTGTGCCACAACTTGTTGAATTTTCTGTGGGTCTGAAAACACTTGAAAGACAAGTGGTTGCTGCAAGAAGAAAGGAAAGGAGAGCGAGCCCTGCTCAGAGCTGGAGGCTCAGCTGACAGGGTTATCTCTTAGAAATGGGATTTTAATCAGGAACCTTTGATTAAAATAGTTGCTCAGGTCAAGGCACACCCCTGTGGGCTGGAGGAATGCAGGGCAAGCCCAGCCTTATAACCAGTTCCTCAGGCTGGAGGAGAGATGGATCTCACTGGGATCAGAGACCAAAGTTGAGCTCAAGGGGTCCTAGATGATGTGTTCTACAGCAGCCACCACGATAGCTGTCCAGCTGCCCACAGCAGTGGGAGCACTGGGGGTCTGGCCATGCTGTGTGCCTGGGCTGGGCCCAGGTGAACACCAGGCTGGGACCTGGCTCTGCTGTGCCTGAGCCACCCATCACCTGAATAAAATAATCTCCCCATCATCCCAAGAACACAATCCTTCCATCACCCTGATAAGAAAATCCACCCATCACCCAGATAAGACAGTCCCCTCATCACCCCAAGAAGACAATCCCCCTATTACCCTGAGAAGATGATCCTCCTTTTACCCTGAGATGATCCTCCTGTTACCCTGAGAAGACAATCCTCCCATCTCCCCAAGAAGACAATCCTCCCATCACCCTGAGAAGACAATCCCCCCATCATCCCAAGAAGACAATCCTCCCATTGCCTTCCCACTTGCCCTTTGAAGGAGGTTGTTGCCCTGTAGAAACATGGGGATTGGGTTCTTGGGGCAGGCTCAGAGGGGATGTTAGGTTTGATAGGCTTTGTGTGGACATGGCATGAGCCTGGGCACACAGCTCCTCTCCACCCAAAAATTGGGTCCCCCCCATGCTTCAGCCCTTGCCCCGAGACTTTGTGAGTTCTCTCTACTGCAGCAAAGCTCGTGATGATGGGAAGACCATGACAGCTCAATCCAAGACATCTAGAAAGGCCTGAAAGGGGCAGGGCACCCTCCCATGTCTTTGGAAAGGGCTGGACTGCACCCAGCCGGAGGTGTTTAATGACTGTTTTGGATCCCTGGGAGCCTCCTCCCACTCAGCCCAAGGTAATTCACCTCCTCCACCGCTGCTGGAGGAGTTGTTGACTGGTGGAGAGCGGCTGGTAGAACAGGTTCTCCGCAGGGAGTTGTCTCCGAAACCCTGGGAGACGTGGATGGCTCAAGCCCCAGGTGTGTGCTGGAAGCCTGGCAGGGCAGGAGCGAGGAGGGAGCTGTTCCTGAGCTGCTCTGCTGGGCAGGGCAGCGAGAGCTCCGCGCCGCTACTACGCTAATTACAGCCCTGCCTCTGTCAGGTAGATAAGAAACCATGTGATGCAGCCTGGTGGCAAACGGGCAGCAGCAGGGTAAAGGTGCACAGGGAAATAACCTTGCAGGGAGTTCCTCCCTCCCTCCCTGGGGAGTAGAGTCTCCGGGCAGCGCAGATCCCTGTGGATCAACAGCACCTTGGTCTTGATGCCTGCTCAAGTTTTGGGAGCTCTCTGAAACTCACAGCAAGTGTCTTTCAGCAGAAGGAACTGGTCTGATCTCTCCAGGTAGGTGCTGTGGTTTAATGCTTAACCCTTTCCGTGGCAGGAGGGAGGGTGAGGTGAGTTGCTGCAGAGCCAGAGGGTGCTGGGGAGGGTGGGAAGAGGGGGCAGCTGCCCTGGGGGTGTTGTTTGCAGAGGTGATACCACCCCCATGGAGAGTTCAGCACTGCAGGAATTTCTTGTGCGTGGGCAAGATCAGAGGCATTTTGGTTCTGCTGCCTGGGGAAGCTGAGAGCTACATAGGAAAATTACTCTGGAAGTGCTTTCTTGCCCCATGCTGGATATATTCTGGGCCTGGTTTGACTTTCTTTGGGGTTCAGTCTGGCTGGGCTGTGTCTCCAGACTTGTTCTGGAGTTGGCTGTGGGGTTTTCCACTCCCTTCATGCCCACCTAGCCCCTGGGTGTGTGTCCTGGCTCTGCCCTGTGGAGGCTGCAGCCCATCCGGGGCTGATTCAGCGCTGCTGGCTGAGCCACCCTGCAGCCCCATGGCACTGCCTGCTCCACTCACTCCTTCCTGGAGAGTGAGCTTGGCTCTGATGGGAGCCAGGGTGAGTGAGGCTCCTGGGCATCCTGAGTCAGGGGAAGCTGATGTGAGGATCACTCCCAACCTCCTGCAGACCCCGGGGCAGCACCTCCAGCCTTGGCTGCATAGGTGGAGTGATGGAGACTCAAACACAACCAGAGTTGCCCACAAAACAGGGCAGAAATCCTAGTTTAAGTGAATGTGGTGGCTCCAAGACTTAACTGCAAACCCTGGCAGGTCATGGAAGAAAGGGGAATTCATAGAATCCCAGGCTGGCTTGGCTTGGAAGGACCTTAAAGCTTATCTTGTCCTACCCTCTGCCATGGGCAGGGACACCTTCCACTACCCATGCTGCTCCAGTCTGGCCTTGAACACTTCCAGGGATGGGGCAGTGCTTGTCTGGGCAATCTGTGCCAGTGGCTCACCACCCTCTTTGTGAAGAACTTCCTTGTATTTAACTGAGCCCCCAGTGGAGGCTGCAGCTCACACCTGCCTCCAGCACGGGTGGGATGGATCCAGAGGGCATCCCAGCCCCATCCAGATCCACCTCCTCTGAGCCACAGACCCAGTGGGGTCCTGCACCCCACGTGCTTCACAACCCCAGAAGGCAGTTCCTGTGCTCTCATTAGATGAGGCAGCACTGAAACAACAGAAATGTCAGAAAGCTCTGCAGTAATGATTAACAGGGCAGGAGAGGACAAGGCAGGGACACTTGCCAAACTGTTTTACTCATCTCTTTGAGGTTAAAAAAGGTAAGACAGCAAAGAATAAATCCCTCTTTGAAAAGAGGAGGGAAAGATTGGCAAAGCAAATCCATAGCCTAATGGGTGGATTAGTTAATTACAAGTAACGAGAAGCTGCATGTGGCTAGTGCCAGGCTATGAGCTACCTCAGAAAGAGCCAGGGAAGTTCAAGGCAGGAAAATCCCATTCTCATTTCAAAGGAACCTGTGCATGGAAAAACCAAGCAGTAACTGCCTGTCACCCGGAGTTATACTGGTACTAGTGCTCCATGCTGTCACTGCTGGAGGGACAGCAGTGCTGAGCAGAGCCACCTGCACATGTATGTCCACACACACGTGCTGACCTTGCTGGGTGGGAATGTGTGTGCAGGGATTGCTGCAGTGGGAAATCATCTCTGCTGTGCAGGGATTGCTGCTCCAGGAGAGCATCTCTACTGTGCAGGGATTGCTGCAGTGGGAAAGCATCTGTGCTGTGCAGGGATTGCTGCAGTGGGAAAGCATCTGTGCTGTGCAGGGATTGCTGCAGTGGGAAAGCATCTGTGCTGTGCAGGGATTGCTACCCCAGGAAAGCATCAGTGACGTGCAGGGATTGCAGCCATAGGAAAGCATCTGTGCTGTGCAGGGATTGCTGCCCCAGGAGGGAATCTGTCCTGTGCAGGGATTGCTACCCCAGGACAGCACCCCATGCTGTGCAAACAGTCGTGCTGCTGTCCTAGCCCTGGCGAGCTGTGCTCACAGGGCCAGCGCGAGCGGGAGCTGTCCCCGCTGGAGGATGCTCAGCGGCACATCCCATCCAGCCTTCTCCATCTCCGACTCTCCCATGGCACTGGAAGCCACGGGGGCTGATTTCTGGGGCGGTGTTCAGGCTGCTGGGGGTGGAGGCAGAGGGGGGAAGGCAGCACCCCCAGCACTGCCCTGTCCCGGGCAGCGCTGACTCCCCGTTCCGCTCGGCCGGCTCTGCCGCCTGCTCCGCCTGCCCCGAGCAGGAGCAACAGAAGCCACAAACAGTCGCGGGGGG